GATATCAAGGTCAGGTTTTATCAATGGCATTGCTGCTCCCAGAAACACAAATTGTCTGCGTTGCTCAGATTGTGTTGTATTCATGTGGAAGATTTCAAATTTGATGTTGATCTCAGTTTCTGCACCAGGGCAGTCACAGCATTCAGAGAGGTAAGTACTGATTTATCCTCAGCCACCCAATCGATCTGCACTGCTGGGTGAGGACCTCTTATGCTCCTCATCCCCCTCTCTCAAGCTGCAGAACTGTGGGAGGCCTGTGCCAAGGGAACAGGTGTTCTGTGTCATCTGCCAGTGATAATCCCAAGCTCTGTTCCAGGCTACAGTTCCCATGCTGTGATATCTGCTTTGCTCCTTGTCTATGAGGGGAGGCTCTGTGCACTGACCCAGAGGCCCCTGTGTGAGCAGAAATACCAAGGTACCTCAATACTAACAGCTTCACATTCACCCTGAAATGCAAACTACAATTGAATGGCAGGAAGAGACATTTTGCTATAGGCTGGGTGCTCTTGAAGGTCAAAGTAGGTTTGTCCTCATCGCACTGGTGTCCAACTTTCTGGGTGTCCATCTTCAGACAAAGAAAAATGTGCTTCCTTATCTTGTCCAGTTGGTCCTCTGAATAGTATGAGAAACAGACCATTGAGGAGTAGCAGCTCAAGTGATCTCTCCTAGGGCTGCAGGGGAGGTCACAGTGAAAGAAACTGTGAAGCCCAGAACCATCACTGTTAGAGTCTCCAGACAGGGAAGCGCACCTGGTGAATTTGAGAACTGCTGACATATAAGAATGCATGAAAAGAGGCAGCTCGTAATGGTGCTTGGATGCAGCGCTAAAACCAAAGTCCAAGAGACTAAAGGGAACTGCTGCAGGTCTTGAAAGAGTCAGGGAAATGTAGTAGCCTGTGCTGAGATATAACAGGGAAATTCTGCAGGTCCTAGACAGAACCAGCTACTACAGGTGGCACTTGATGCCACCTAAAAGATGACAGCTGGGGCATCCCGACGCCTCTCTGAGCCTGAACCAGCACTGATTCATGACAGATGATTAGGAGACAGAAAAAGGAGTTCACACTATGCAGGGCAGGAGCTGCACGGAGGTCAGGAATGCAGGCTACTGGCAATGGACGCCAGTTTGGGGGACTCCCGTGGAGAAGGCAGGTACAATTGTGAATGGCCTGCATCTCATGAGACAATGCTATGCAGCAGTTTTTATACCTGCTTTGTGGACACAGATGAGCTCAAGTCTGTAGGTCTCCCAAAGCTGCCCAGTTCTGACTCAAGTCTGGTAGAAGCCAACATTTTTATTTTTATTCATTTTATGTGGTATCTTAAACATGAGGGAATTTTGTAGTTCCTAAATAAAAACCAAACTATATAAAATGGGGTAGGAGAACAGTCCACTCTCCTGCCCTTCCTTGCTTCATTTCCAGGACTAATGTAACTATTTGACACTTTAAAAAGGTCCTTAAGGTTCTGCTTGAGAATGCAAATATGAGTTCCATGGTTAGTTCTGGGTAGGACATAATCTTGCCTCACATCAGTGAACTTGTCGTGATTGACTAGTGAGCTGGGGGCGGCTCTCACTCCTGTATTTCCCTTCAGCACACATTCCCTGGTCCTTCAGGGGGCTTCACAGAGACATGGCACTGCTGTGCTGCCATCCAGTGGCTGAGTGAGCATTGGCTGTGGACCTCTCCTCTCTCAGTGCGCTGTAGCTGTAAGGACAGCAGGGAGCACTACAGGAGCTGGTGCATGCAGTGTTCAGGACAGGGACCTGCACCACCTCAAGTAGCTTAGCGTAGTGATGCAACAGACGTCATGTGGCAGCACACCATGCTATGTGGGGATAGGCCAAGGCTGTGTGTTCAGGGGACAGAAATGCTCCCAGGGCCCTTGGCCCAGCAGCATGGGGTCAGACATATGCCTCACATGTGCACACAGTGTGGAAGTGCGCAGGGCGACATCAGCCTGCACACTGTGTGCACAGGGTTTCCCACTCTGTTGTTCAGTCAGCCTGGGCTATTAAGGGCATTGGTATGAATTTGCCCAGAAGCATACACTGTCTCTTTCCCTGCCTATCTGTCTGTCCCTCTGCCTGTCTCCCTCTTTCCTCCCTATGGGCTCCTCTGTACTCACCTGAAGGGCTGTGCGTGCTCACTGGACTCAGAGTGCCAGTGTGGGCCTTTGGGGTTTCTTGAGCGCAACAGGAGACTCAGGGAGTCCTGAGTGCTTTCCAGGCAGTGGGGCAGTGGGGAGAGGTCTTGTGACTCAGGAAGGAGCCATTAGTAGTCTTTCAAAGTTCACAAATGTTACACACTTAGCTTCACAGCAATGCTATACCAGATTTTGTAAATGGCAAACCATTTTAGATGTCAAGCTAAATTCAAACCACACGTCCCAGTTTTTTTTGTTTTTTTTTAAGAATATGTGCAGTGGCTTTCTACTAGGATTTGTGTCCCCCTAAGCAGAGACATCTCCTTAGTCCTAGAAATCTGCGCCCCCCACACACCTTCCCTTCAACACCACCATACACAGGGTGTCACTCTTTCTCACAGCATCTGCCATGAACTGACTGCATCCAGATGGACGGGACTGCTGGAAGGAGGGCTGTGCCACTCCGTGTTGACCGGGGCACTGCACTGCACTGGCAGAATGCGTGGTGTACAGAGGTTGAACAGTGTTCTCCATGTTTATGCTTCAGTCCACAATGAATTTCTTATGGATCTTCGGGTCCGTGCCTACAGTTCGGTACCTTGGGCCCTAATAGGTGCTGAAGGACTCACCCTCAGTGCCCCTACACTTACACCTGCCTCTGTCTGCCTCAGTTCAACCTGGTTTGTGATCGGAAGCAACTGAAGCAGACCTCACAGTCAGTGTTCATGGCTGGATTCCTTGCTGGGGCCATCATCTTCGGGCCCCTGAGCGACCGGTATGATGTTGACCAGCTTGCCACTTACCTACACTCTTGGTGCAACCCATGTTCCCCATGCCCTAAACACCAGCCTCCAGTACAAGGCTCTGTTCCCCCCACTCTCAAATAAGATACCCAGGGAGGGATCATGTCTCCTGGAGATATAATTCCAGGGCAGGCCCCTGAGTTTCCCAGGTCCTGCCTCAGGGGTGCCTCTCCCTGCACCCACTTGCCCCTTTGTTACCTTAGGATTGGCCGAAGAGCCTGTATCCTGCTGCAGCTGCTGCTGATTGCCATCGTGGGCCTGGCCACAGCCTTTGTGCCCAGCTTTGAGCTCTACATGGCCTTTCGCTTTGCTGTGGCCATAGCTATTGCTGGATGTTTGTTAACCACCGTTGCCCTGAGTGAGTATCTGGAAGTGAAGCCTTCAAGAGCAGGTATAGCCCCAGGGCCTGGACTCCAGCAGCCTCTAAACTGCCCATGGGTATGTAGGTGAGAATCTGCGCCTTAAGTCCTTATGGTGTCCTATGCTGGGATGAGGTTCCAGCCCTACCGTGGTAGCAGCTAAGCAAGAGACAGAGACCGAATAGGAAGGTGTAACCCACCCTAAGCCTCAGCTTCTCTTCCCACAGTTTCAGAGTGGGTTGGGCCCTCGTGGAGGACTCGTACAGTGGCTGTGATACAGGCTATGGCTGCCCTGGGGCAGATGGTTCTAGCTGGACTCGCCTATGGTGTCCCAAACTGGAGATTCTTGCAAATTGCTGTCTCTGCTCCTACCTTCCTGCTCTTCTTCTACTTCTGGTGAGGAGACCCGTGCAGGATGATGGTGCTTGGGCAGTTGTGCTGTGGGCATGGGGTGCAGCCCTCACCTTCACCACATCTCCTGGGTGGTCAGAGGCTGCTGCAGGACAGGCAGCTGTGGGGATGGGTGTGGGGTTCTGTGTTTCATGCTGTGACTGGGAGAGCTCCACAGCACTCTGGACCCCGAGGTCCCAGTGATTCCTGGATTTCAGGCTTCTACCAGAATCTGCACGGTGGCTCCTCATCCGGGGGAAGACAGAAGAGGCCAAACAACTGGTCATGAAGGCAGCCTCAGTCAACAAGCGCAAGCTCTCCCCAGAGCTCCTGAGCCAGGTACCTGTGGCAGGGTCAGCCCCAGTCCTGCCTTAGAGCTGCTCTTCCCACATCTTCCCTGGCCCTCTTACTGTGCATCTCCTTCCAGCTGGTCCCAGAGGAGCAAGCCTGCAAAGGGAATGCCTTAGACCTTTTCAAGCATCCCCATCTCCTGAAGGTGACCCTGATTCTCACCTGTGTCTGGTGAGTAGCAAAGGCCCATGGCCTCCTCATGGACAAAGCCCGAGAGCTCTCTCTTCCCTTGTGTGTGCCATTGCCATGGTGTATTGAAGGCCTTCAAGCAATGGTGTTGTCAGCATAGCAGTGCCAGTGATTCTTGGTTTGACTCTGACCAAGTCAGCCTCTTCCTCAGGGTGTCATGGTGTTAAACACACAGCAGTCACATGGACCTTTGGATCCTTTGTAGGTTTGTGGACAGCCTGGTGTACTATGGCCTTAGCTTCCAAGTGGGTGAATTTGGCCTTGACATCTACCTGACACAGCTGATATTTGGAGTAGTTGAAGTGCCTGCCCGCCTTTTGAGCATCTTCATGATGGAGAGGTTGGGTCGCAAGTGGAGCCAGTCCGGGACTCTGATTGTGGGTGGTGTCATGTGTATCATCATTGCCTTCATCCCTTCAGGTATCAGGCTGGCTGTTTAGCATGCATCCCACCCACCTCAGCCAGGGCTCTTTCCATGGGCCATTGCTCCCATGTCAAGAGTATGGGTTCTCCCAAGTTTCAATGCATTAGGGTTGGGGGTTGGCAGGCACAGGGAGGTGGGGCATCCACTCTCTGTTGGCTGACCAGCATTTTCCTCCAGATCAGCCTGTGGTGGTCACTGTGCTGGCTGTGGTGGGAAAGTTTGCCATGGCTGCCAGCTTTACCATCTCCTACGTGTATACTGCTGAGCTCTTCCCCACCATTATCCGGTAAGAGCTCCTGGTTTTACTCTCACTATGTTATTCTTACCACGTCTATAAATAGCTGAGCTAAGCTGTCAGTAGGGCCAGGGCAACTCGACATTTAGAGCAACCCCCAAGTTTTCCTCATCTGAGTTGTGGACAGATGTAAAAATTCACCAAGCCTTAGCTGTGTCAGGTGGGAAGATAGGATATGTCTAAAGTGAATGGTCAAAATGAAATCAGAGATTTAACATTCAAAGCCCAATCAACCAGGGGGCATCTGAGGTGAATACACACTTTTTAGATGTAGCAACATGAATGGCAAATAATTACATTAAAAAATGTTGAACACCATTGGTCATTCGAGAAATGCAAATTAAAGCAACACTAAGATTCCATGTCACCCCAAAAAGAATGATTATCTTCAGGAAGTCAACCAATAAAAAATGATGGAAGGACTGTGAGGAAAAAGGAACTCTTATCTACTGTGGTGGAAGGGTAGACTGGTACAGCCACTATGGAAGTAAGTGGAGATTATTCCTCAAAAATCTTGAATTAGAGGTCCCAATCAACACTACTGTTTCCCTCCTAAGTATCTTTCCAATTATGAATCTGCACTCATGTTTAATGCAGCACAGTTTCTCATAGCTACATTTGGAAACAACACAATGCCCCTCAACTAAAGTATGGTTTGAAAACATATTTGTTTATATGGAGTGTTACACAGATAATAACAAAGATAATCTCAAGGCTTTTATGGGTAATTGGGTGCAAATGGAGACCATAATCATACATGAAATAAATCAGACCCATATGTGTAAACATAATATTGTCTTACTAGTGTAAGAACCTGAAGGGGTAAATAAAATTGAAAGGTACAATAGATAATGTGAAAGGGAAAAAAACAGCTCAAAGGAAAGGAAAAACTGGAATGAGCAAAAGGGGGAAAGAAAGAAGGAAACAAAGAAAGAAGAAAGAAACAAAGAAAATATATATGTACATACACAAGAGAGCTTCAATAACTGTACTGCTGATTTCTACTAGTCTATTGAAAGGAATGTTTGTGTTAATGCTTACATTTTTTCTTCTCTTTATATTTTGACTAATTTCACATGATTATATATGGTAATCTGAACAACTAATCTGAAGGCAAGGATATGCAATACAGCGATCATAAAAAAAGAGAGAGAATATGAATGGTCACTCAGTTGAGAAGAGGGAGGACAGCAGGTGCAGCCTTGGTCTGAGAAGTGACAGCTGAACAAGAGTGTAGCAGGCATGGATGCCTGGAGGTAGAAGGCGCATGAAGGAGCAGAGGACAGAAGCACTGGGTGGGTCAGTGAGGACTGGAGAACCAGCAGGCTTTTGGGGGTCTCTATGGGGACTTTGGGTGAATCTGGCCTGCAGCAAGGCTGAGTATGCTCAGTTTGTGCTGGCTTCCTCCAGACAAACAGGAATGGGGCTGGTGAACATCTTCTCAAGGATTGGGGGCATCCTTACACCACTTATCCTCCTGCTGGAGGTCTACCATGAGTCCATCCCTATGCTCATCTATGGCTGCACCACCATCGTAGCAGGGGTGCTCTGTGTCCTGTTGCCTGAGACCCGTGGCCAGAGCCTGAGGGACACCATCCAGGACCTGGACCAGCAGCCCTACCGAGGGCGAACAGCTTGTTGCTTCTGATGCCCAGGTGGGTGTCTCCTCTTCCAGGGGCCCTGGCATCCTCCTCACTCTTAGTGTCTTGTTGATTAGAGACACATACATACAACACATACATACACATACAACCACATACAACACAACCACATACATCTGTGAGCCTTTGGATCAGAATCCTTCCACTTTGAGGCATGGGGTGGTTAGGAACATGATCATGGGAGCAGTTCTGAATGTTAACCTTAGCTTTTTATCTCTTCAGATCCATCAATACAGAGACTTCAGGAAAACCAAAAGAGATCACAGAAAAACCTTCTAACGTAAGGGTCGCCAATGTGAGCTTTTCATACTTCTGACTGTGGTCACTAAGAGCCAGATCAGGGAACTCTACTCCTTCTCTGGATACAACTAGACATCAGTGAGAATGCACAAATCAGCATGTCTTCTGCAGGCAGCACACCATGACTTTGTCCCAGTCCCAGCCCCACCTCCAGCCCCAGCTGTCCACTGCTCAGTCCAAAGCAGATGTGTCAGAAACAGATCCTCCCTCCCTCATCTCTCCACCTGTCTCTTCAGAGCTTCACCCCAACAGCCTGTATTAAGGTCTTCTGTTTGGCATTGGTTTTACTCATTCTCTTACATTTTTCTGATCCTCTCAGTCTGGGTGTGCATTCCATGAACAGAATGAAGCCCAGAACAGAGATTTAGTTGGGACATTCCAAAGTTGTGGGAGTAAGCAGAGAAGAATCAAAGTTTGGAGTTGTGGATTGTACCCGGATGGATGGAGAAGAAGCCGTGCAAGAGGATGAGATGGAAGTTCCTTCTAGGGACTGGCTCTAATCTTCTCTGAGTTTTGTGTAGGCCCACAAGACTTTTCATCTCATCAAGAGAAGATTGTCTCCTCAGATTCACAGCTCCAATCCTGCATTTCCTTTGAAGATTCTTCACCCTCTGCCCCACATGTGGCTTATGCTTAACTTGAGTGTGGCTCTGGGATTAGCATGGGCAAAGGGAGGAGTTGGATTCCATTCCTGTCATCAATTCTACACCAGAAAATTCAACAACTTAGATGAAATGGACAAATGCCTTTGAAGACAAATTACCAAAGACTCAAATGATAGCAGTGATTGTGTGACAGTGAATAGAACAAATTTACAGCAATCCTTGGATGGTGACCTTAATTCATTTCAGAAACATGTTTGTGATTTAAAGCACTTGTGTGTGAAAACAATCTTGCATATAAGAAATAACGGTAAACCAGGGCATTAGCTAGGTAGAAAAAGCACTTGCCTGGCAAGCATAAGCTCCTAAATTCAATCCCTGGTACTGGAAAAAAAAAGACATAATGGTAAACACATTTGTTCCACCATCTAAAAATATTCATATGACAATGATTACAATACTTTAATATAATACAATATAATATTTTTTGATGAATTTTACATGTCTATATGCTATAATTTGAGTAACTACTTTGAAGATAATCTTATGAAATATAATGATGATTGTTAATTCTCTATCATTTTGTTTTGAAATTCTGTATCATTTTTATTCCTATTTTCTCTTTAATATAAAAGAAAAAATGAAATAAGAAAATACAAAATATGAAGAAAAACAAATTGACCTGCATTTCACTTTGAAATCTTCATTTCTGACATGAGGGAGACAGGAGAATTGAGGGTTAAGTTGTGTAGGATGTTTTCCCTGTTGCACTATCTCACAAGGACTGACTCAGTGGAGCTATTCTTTTCATGCAAACTTAACAAGGAGCCTACCAATGACACTCGCTTTGCCTCCTTTTGAGGATTTTGCACAAATGTGACATACACCATTGTTAAATAGATTTATCACTTGCAGTGGTGCAGCATTATTTGGGTGCAGATCTCTATAAAATTTTGCACTGTTTCTCACCTTACATACCTCTACCAAACCTTTGAGCTAAGGGATTCCTCTGCCCATTTCTCCTCCTCAGTAGATGAAATCTCCGCCATCACCTCCAGCTCCTGGGAGATGATCACTCACAGCCCCACACTGAGCGAGAGAGAAGACCCATTGGGTCAGCTGTGCCCATGTGATGTTTGGCATCATGTACCACTGTTGTTGTGAGGTTTGTTTACTTATCTTTTTTTTAAAATTTTATTTATTTTTTATTTTTTTATTGAGAAACAAATAGTAATGAGACAGTTTCAAAACTGATTTATAGGATAGTTTCAATAATCAATACATTGTACCTTGTTTTCTTCTTAGTGGTTATCCATAGTACAAGATGCAGGCAGGATATCCTGTTCAAACACTATTAGTACAAATCTTTCTCGGGGCCGGGAAATGGTTCAGGGGAATAAGTGCTTCCCTGACAAGTGCAAGGGCCTCATTTCAATCCCCAGTTCTGCCAAAAAAAAAAAGAAAGAAAAAAGAAAAAGAAATTACAAATCTTTCTTCCCATTGATTTAAGCAAAAGTAGCTGTATATCTATCCTAACTGTTCTGTATATACAGATACAAAATAGTCCTTCCTTTGTATCACCTTCATTTGTTTAGCCCTGTAAGAGATAGGTATTCCATTGGCATCTAAATACTACAGGTGCAAGAATTAGGTAAAACAATCCTACACAGTCTAACAGTACACAAGAGTAGTGGGTTGTCCACAGAAGTTGTTGACTTGAGCATTTCACAGCTCAGTATATTAATATGGTTTTACTTTATATACCACATTTTTATACTTTTCTGCTGAATAGTTAAGACCAAGATAAAGCAAGACCTACATAACAAGAAATGTAACTTTTTTACCAGATAAGGTCAGTCAAGTTCCCTCAGGATTTATCCTGTAACCTTGTACCGCAATTTACAGATCCTTTGTCAGTGTCAGGCATGTGGATGAGTCACGGCCATTGCTTGACCAATTTGCTCTCTGTGAGAGCCTGAGAGAATGTTTTCTCTCCATGTGACTTTCCTTAGGCACACTCTACACTATTGCTCATGTTTCTCTGTGGCCCTATAATCTCCTTGGTCAGGAAATTTGGGACACAACTGAGCTACATGATGTTACGGTATAGGGTCTCTTATGTCCTGAGTCTTGACTGACCTTGAAAGGTTAGGGGCAAAATGCTGGCTGTCCTTGCAGCCCTTCTATTTCTCTAATTTTTGGTCTGCAAACTTAGGTTGTTAATCCTCCAGAAGACAAGCTTATTATTGCCCTACAACATACACAGTTGGGTTTAACCTCACTATTTGATTTAATATCAAACATCTTATGCATAATATGGAACAGGTATTTTCCATCAAGTATTAATATGTTAACCTTTAACTCCCTACAGAACATGGAGATAAAAATTTAAAAAATAAAAATATTTAAAGAATATGAATAAACAATTACATTTTTTACACAGAAATTTAGAAATCTAGCCATATACAGCATTCTAGCAGGACACTCTTGTGACATTTTTTTTTCTTGTGTCTTTTTTTAATTTCTTACCCATCTAAAAAAAACATTTTACTTCAGAGACAGTATGATGATAATTGGTATGTCATGACAGGAAGTACGTATTTAGAAGACCAGAATGACAGGTATTCCAAGCAAGACCCTTCTATTACATATTGCTATCTTCAGTGCAGTTGCTTGGTTCACAGCTATCCGCATGTATAGTTAGTCAGGGTGAGAATCCTACCAATTAACTGCTAGTTTCAAAAACCTGCTGATGTTTCTCAGTATCATTGCCTTACCTGTCTTGTGTGTATAAATGTATGGCTTTGTCCCTGTCCTATTTCCCAGCTTTTCTCCTTGCCCTCTCCTCATTGTCCAATCCACAAGATCTCACTTTCCTTTTAATTGTGTTAAACCTTTCTATTTGTATTTCTTCTTTTGAGTTCTTATACTATGGAGACTATATGATATTTACACATATGGGTCTGATTTATTTCACTTATGAGTATATCTTCAAGTGGCATCAATTTAAATATAAATGCTTCAAGTTTATCATTCTTTATAGCTGAGTAATA